GTTCATTTCTCCCCTGCCACCAGACGGTGTGCATAGGGAGCAGAGTGATTCTCAAATACTCACAGACCACTCTGGGAATGCTTGCCGCCATCACAGCCACTCCCCTGCATAGGGTATCACTGCTCCACAACAAGATGCTTTGGAGATTGTCTAAATGACTCAACTCTAGCTGCTCTTAGAGAAGAGTAAGATGTCTTCCTGCTGTTTTTCTCTTGGAATGAAGTCTCAAAAACCAAGCATTACAAACCTGAATGGAAAGTTATGAGATGTGTGTGTCCTGGGTTCTATTCCTGCCCTGCGGCTAGTTCCCTCCAGGTCTGAGTTTCTTCACCAATTCGAAATCATACTACATCCTGTTAAATAGACACCCACAGCCCTGGGAGCTTTGCTGAGGATACATATGCATGCCTTCTAGAGATGAGCAGTGACATTTCTACCCTCAGTGTGTGCCAAGGAGACTTATGGTGCCTAGACAGGGCTTTCAAAGTGCCAACCACATCAGTAAGTGACACTCTGGTATGCTTATTAAAATTCTGCAGCAGAGATTACAGCAGGCTTAATGCAAGGCCATCTAGCTCTTGTTTACAGACCAAAAAAACAAGGTCCCACCACCAATAAGGATTAAATGCAGCTGACAGTAAAATTCAAATGGCTCTTTTTTTCTTTTGCAGAAGTTGAAATGATGATGGGAAATTCTTAAATTCATATGGAATTTTAAGAGGTTTTACACAAAACAACACAGGGAAAAAAAAAGAAAACAGGCCAGGCGTGGTGGCACATGCCTCTAATCTTAGCACTCGGGAGGCAGAGGCAGGTGGATCTCTGTGAGTTAGAGGCCAGTCTGGTCTACAAAGCGAGATCCAGGACAGCCAGAACTGTTACACAGAGAAGCCCTGTCTCAAAAAGCCAAAAAAGAAAGAAAGAAGGAAAGAAAAGAAAACAGACTGAAGACTTATGCTTCTCACTTTCAAACTTCCTACAGAGCTACATGCCAAAAGTGAGGTACCATCATGGGACATACAGAGTTCATCTACAGCCAATTGTGTTTTGACAAGGGTGTCACACATTCAGTTGCAGGAAGGAACAGTCACTTCAATAAATGCTGCTGGGCAAATAGACATCTACATGCAACAGGAATTGGTTCCCTACCTCACACCACATATATAACTAACTCAGAATTGATGACAACCTGAATGTAAGAGTTCAAGACACCAAAACTCCTAAAAACCAAAGGAGAAACCTTCATGTCTTAGCAATGGGCAATGAGTTCTTAGATACAACACCCAAAACAAGAGCAACAAGGAAAAATGAAGAGTACAATTGGAACTCATTAAAATACAAACAACTTTCAGAACAGGAGAAGATATTTGCAAATCTTATCTGGTAAGAACACAGCTATCCAAATACATAAACAATTCTGGAGACTCAAAGTGCAAACAGCCCAACTTGAAAGTGGACAAAGGGACCTGAACAGACACACTTCCAACACTGACAACAAACGGTCATGGAGCAAGGAAAGATGCTCACTGCCACTGCTCCTCTGGGAAACACAAATCAATCACCACAGGTACAAGCTCACATTCTCTAGGTTGGATAGAAGCAAGAAGTGGTAAGTATTGTCAAGGATGTGGAGAAACTGAGGCCTGTGCATTAGTGGTGGCAGCAGAAAGTGGAGCAGCTGACACCAGGTAATGGTGGCACACATTTTTAAACCTAGCCCTCTCCTGTTTGGCAGTCTTTGTGTACCATAGCCACCTCTGTCAGCCTAGACCACGGACACACACGTGCCTCAGTGCACGAAGCTGCTGTGCTAGGAGGTGAGGCTGCAGGCACCTGGCCCTTTCCTTTTCTCTTTCTTTAAAGCTTGTACCAGTGGCTTCTCTCCTCTCCCTCCTTCCCTCCTTATCCTGGTGGCTCTGATGAACATATGCACACCACTTTTCATCCCAAGTGACAAGACAGGAACGCTGAACAACCTGTTCAGACTAAAGCTTGGGAGCTTTAAGCCGTTGCTTGGCCTAAGAGTCACCTCTGTCAGCAAGAAACAAAGTCCCCTTTGTTCTGAGAAGTGATGTCTAGAGCTGTTCTGGTGAGCCTTTGGCTCTCACCTTTGTGAGCCAGCCTAGCTTTAGGCTCCACACTGTAGCTTGGCTTCTGAACTGTTAGTAACACTGGTTCCTTCCACAGCCTTCTTTACCCCAGTCACCTTTACCAGATTTCTCTGCAGCTGGACAGCACATCAAATCTGGTCAACCACTTAACGGAACCTAGCGAGAACTCTCTTTCTAGGAAAAGGTGACTTCCACTGAGGAATCTGAGTCAAAGAACAAGCACTTTCTGAAGAACAAATATATCCCTAGTGCCATGACAGCAGCCAAAGAGCATACATAGTGTCTACCAGATTTCAGGAGACCAGCTGGAGGTGTCTGGTGTTCCAAAACAGCTCATGCATTTGATATTTTGTGTACATCCTTAATAAACATCTGATGGAATTAATATTCATAACAAGATTTTTCTTGGTCTGTTTCAGTGCGATGTGATGAGCTGGAAGATTCTCCTTCCTCTAAGCTTTCTCACACTGCCCTTTAACCCCTTGCTTCTTTCTACAGTTCTCTCGCGGGAGGGCAAGTCATTGAGGAGAGTAAGCAGGCTTCTGGACATCAGGGAAACCCTTTGCTCCTGAGAAGCCTCTGGCTGCTCCCTTTTTATAAACGTGTTTCTTTCCTTTAATTACCATTTCCTTTTACAAAAAGGCTTTATTTCTTACCAGGGATTATCTTAAACCACAACCAGAACTGTCAACTGTCTTAACTCATTTGGTTTCCCTATGCTGCTGACACCAGACTGATTTCCTTGAAATGCAATTTCCTTCTGTGAGCCAGAATGGGTCCTCCTCCCCTCTAGACTCTGACCCAGAAGCTACTAGACACTCACCATAAAGTTCTCAATGAAAGAGAAGAAAGATGCTTGCTATCTAAAGGAAAATACAAAATTAACAAATAACATACACAAAAAAAAAACCTTAAGCGTTAACAAATTTGAGCTGTGGGGAAAGACTCCCAAGAAAACACCTATACACCCACAAGTCTATCAACTGCCTTTACACACTGAAGGCAACGAAAGGTTTCCAAACAAGATTTAACAGCCTTCTGATCTGGCAGTGTTGAGGACCAACCAATACAAGAGGAAGGTGGAGGGGCTGCAGCACTGAGGCTTCGCTGCAGCTGCACACTGGCTATTACCATCCCCACCAGGACAGAATGAAGATCTGCCTATTACAAGGGGTGAGAGAAAACTGTAGATCCAGAAGAGCAGGCTGTTGATGTGTTTAGCGAGCACGAATAAAGAGCTAACACCACCCATCAGCCTCCTACAGTTTACCGAGTCATCTGCTTTGTAAAATGCAGCAAACTTCATTTTATTTTCCCAGTGAACGTTCTTGTCCAGTTGGCTTGCTGACATGGTTTGGGACAGAACTCTTGGTTCTGACTGCCTTGCAGCACAGCACCGGGTTCCTCCGACTGCCTCCTCAAGTGCTGGGTCCCAACGCCAGGCCACTCTGAAGAGCAACAGTGGGGCTGCAAAGCTACAGAGTGGCCTGACCTCTGACCTTCTGTGCCTCATAACCGCCTGGGGCATCCAGCAAGCTACTTGTTGTGCAGACGGCCCTATGAAACAGACAGCTAACTGCAGCTGGGGAAGAGACAACAAAGAGTTAACAGGCTCTCCCAACAGTCTCCTCTCAAAGACTGTCCTCTATGGTGGCTTGCCGCGTTCCACCCAACAACAGCTGCTCATGATAATCAATGTCTGACAGATCAGAGAAAGCCCTTAATGTGTCGCCAAGGGGCAGTTCAACAGATGGCATGATGACTTACAACCAGAATCATTAATTACAATCTCTTATTAGTCCCAAGGTACAGTGCTGAAATGCTTCCTCGGTGAAAGATGAGCACTTCAGATAAATGGCCGTCTGCTATTGCTGATGGAGTTGCCTTTAAGGAGTTCTGGTCAGTGCTGAATCTACAAGAAAGCCACACTACTGCTCAGCTGTCTCCTACCTTCCACTCACGCTGGCTAGGCCTTTCAAGTCCCCAGCACCTCTAGCTATTAGAGTTCCCATAATCATTGCAGGTAAGGACAGGGCATTCCCTCTCTAGTCAGCTGACCAGAGAATGATCAATGCGACAATCATTAGAGCTAGCTCAGTGCTCCCTCCCTAGTGGAAGAAGGGAGGTCTTCCACTCCCTTATTTACGGAGCGGCTTCGTGAGGTGTTTCTTGTGATCATTATGACTTATTCTCTAACTCAGACCCCTATTCCCATCCTAGAAACACAGAGAGCAGAAACTCCTAAGAAACAAAATCTAACAATGGAAGGCAGACAGAACCCCAACAGCCACACCACTGTCTCAGCTCCCTAGGAACAAGGAGATAAACTGAGTTAGGAAGCAGATGGTGAGGGGATGATTCTAAATCCTTTCTTGCTAGAGACACTGAGACACATGCTCTCAATGCTGGAAAAAGGGGTTCCTGCCCACAGTCTGAATCAGGCTACATAACATGACTGAACTTGTAGAATATGTATGTACAGGAAGAGCTACTAGGCAGGTGACTTACTGGCAAGCACGTGTATATGTCAGAAATAAACCTTGAAAACAACTCAGATTCCCAAATAAAACCAATTAAATACCCTTTAGTTTTGCTGACCCTTCTGCAGCTCAACTTACAATTTTTCAACTGCAACACTAAACTGAAGCAACCTTAAGGTCCTAAATGCTGTGACTCAGAGGCCACTGTTTTCACAATGTGAGTTTTTCTTTCCTGGACATGTAAAAACGTGACTTCAACCCTTAACTAGGCTCCAGTAATTACAGTTATCTGATGGATGCTGCTATCTCATTTTCAAAAGATTAAAAAAAAAAAAGGTTAATCCAGGAATAAAATGGGCTGTAGGAAGGGCAATCCAGGCAGTTGGGGTCTGCTCTGCAATGTACTCACTTCTAGCTTTTTCTCTTTTTCTGACAAAACCTCCTTCTGGTTCTGGGTGTACTCCACCAGCATCCGAGCCAGCTGGCGCCGGTCTTCCAGTTCCGCTGCCAGGCGCCCGTTATATTCCGCTAGTAACAGACATGCTTCATCTACTGTTTTTGAAAGACGTTCAGCTGCCTCTTTGTCTGAGTACAAATAAGAGCAGAAACAGACAACATACAAATCACATAGGTATGATTGTAAACATTCCTGAGAGAAGGTTCACAGAGTCCAAAAATAAACCAGAACCTGTGAACCAACAATGCTGGCTAGCCAAGAATCCAAAGGTGCCAACTCTGTCAACAAGACACATTTCTGAATTGCCTGAAGTGAGGCAACGGGATGGGGCAGGAAAGCTGGCAGCCTGAAAAGCGCTTCCAGGAGAAGCTCTCCAAACCAAACCAGCATACAGGTATTTAGGGTCATCTGTGAAATGATTTCCCTAGCCTCTGAGACGACGTGCTTTTTCTTCTGTTACCGCATTAAGAACACTCTGTCCACTGCTTTGAAGTGACAAAGCAGGCACTCACGTCTTGGGTGTGGAGAGACTGAGAGAAAACAGAAGTTGTCTGAGAGGCTCAGGACGTGGTCTCAGAAGCTGATCTGCAGGCCTCTGTTCACTAGAGAAAGAGCCTGACACCTGAGAATGAGCTTTTCTCCTACGCTTGCAAAATACAGGGTCTGAAAAGGAGGAAAGGCCTTTCGAATGTATCTGAACATGATCCTCAGTGGAAAGTTCATAAAAATACAAATAAGAAGCCATGTATGGTAGGTCACACTTGTAGGAGGACTGGAAGAAATTCCAAGTAAGCTGGGTTACACAGCAAGATTCTAAAAGAAAAAAGAAAAAGGAAGGGAAGGAAGAGGGAAACATCTTTTTCTTACATGTGCAAAAAATTTGTGTTGTATTTTTAAAGTGTGGGTCATCATTGACCATGATTTCATGTCCTAATAATGGCCTGTCACCCATGCTTTGGGGAGAGAAGAGTAAGCCCTGAATTCTAAGGAAGGGGATTCTTAGAGAGTAGTGCTAAACAAAGGCTGCTGTAGCAAATGAGCAGAGACAAAAGGATTCAGATCCACAAAGAACTGCTGCAACTGTGTGGTGAGGGCATAAGTTTAAACATGTGCATCTTGCTTTAAAAGGTCTTTTGGGGGCTGGAGAAATGGCTCAGTAGTTAAGAGCACTTATTGCTGTCATAGAGAACTTGATTTGGTTCCCAACACCCATATCAAGTAGCTCACAATCACCTCTAACTCCACTTCTGGAGGATCCAAAGCAATCTCGGCATCTGTATATATATGGTGCACATAAATCCATGCAGGCACACACATACACATAAATAAAAAATATTAAAAATAAATAAAAGCAAAAAGGTCTTTTGGATGAAAATAGCAGGTTGATGCTTTGAAGCAAAGGGCACCAGAGCTGCCAGCCAGCAGTTACATAGACAACCCAGTGACACAAATCTGGGGCTCTCGGCATTCTTCGAGGCAATGGAATTGAGGAATTTCTAGCACAGTACAGCTATCTGGTCTTACTCGCCTCCGTGAACACCAGGAAACGAGCTGCTGAGGGCTCCCCAACTGGGTCTGATGGCCAAGACCAGGCTTTCCTCCCTCCTTGGGTTAGAGAACACATACTTAGGAAAGAGTGAGCAAAACAAGTGGGAAGAGGGCCTACGACAGAGAGCAGGGACCAACGCAGTCTCGACTGGAGATGCGGCCTAGGAACAAGCCTGAGTGACTGCGTAACGCTGTCAGTCAGTCCTTGACTACTGATCGCTTTACAACAGTAATTGCTAGAGTACCTGGGGCAAAAAATGTCAAGGAAATACTAATTTTTAAGATTTAAGATAAAAAAGAATCAATTCTCACCCTCAAGAACTTGTATAAGAAAAGCAGGTCATTTACACAAGTAATTGGAACCCAGAAACAGCTTTTTAATCACTCAAGAGTTACACAAAGGCACACTGGCTGGGAATCAGGTCAGTGTCTTGCTCAACCATCATCAGTGAAGCTTCCTCCTGCAGAACTAATAGAGACCCACAACTGGACAGTGTACTGAGAGAGCTTTGGAACACCCAGGCCTAAATGGGATGTCTTCATCAAACCCCTTCCCTTAGGGCTCAGGGAACCCTGAGGTTATAAGAGTCAGTGGTGATGGAGGACACCAAGGAAACAGTGTCTTCCAAACACAACAGGACTGATGCATAAATGAACCCAGAGACTGTGTGTGGTAGCATGCACTGGACCTGCACAGGTCCAAGCCAGATGGGGTCTCAGTGCTGAGAGTGGAAGTGGACAGGAGCCCCCATTCCTAACTATCTCCAAGTGTCAAATGCTTGAAAAGGAAAGATTAGTTTTTTCCAATTAGAGTCTCACTGGACATACAAACCACATTTAAAGACAGGACTCATGCCCAGCAGCAGAAGGCTAACACAAGATGAACGCAATGGTACTTTAGATGTTTTGTCCTGTAATGCTTTGTTTGGAATACATATATACATATACGCTCATGGTTTCTGATTTTCTGTTTTTATATGTTTTGTTTATGTGTGTATGTGTGTTTCTTAGGCTTTTTTCTTTTTTAAATTGTGGTTTATTTGCTCTTTTATTTGCCTGTTTGCTTTCTGAAGAGAAAAAGAAGGCGTGGAATTGATGGGTGGAGAAATGGGGAGGATCTGAGAAGGGGTGAGAGAGGGGAAACTGTGATCAGAATATATCATAAAAAATATTTTCAATTAAAAGGCAGGGGGTGTTACACAAAAACTGCAGTCCAAATGCAGAAGCAGATCTTGCCTGGGGCTGACTATGGCTGTGCTCTGGCCTGCCCTCCCTATGCCGTGGTGAGCCTCCTGAGGAGTCCTCCACCTGAGGCCAGTCCTCCTCCTGGGCTCAGGAATCCTGCATTCCCGGGTGACTCACTCAAACACTCAGTTTCTGGTAGTCCCCAAGTTCCCCCTGTCTCCTCCATTTCTCTCCTTTCTTAAGCACACCAACAGCACAGGAGGGAACCTGTAGCTGTCTCCCTACGAGCTATTACCTCACTTCCCCGCTCCCCTCAACAGCAAACTCAAGAGGCCCTTACAGTCCCTGTAGTCCCTCTCTCCTTTGTCAGCAAGTTCACCCCAATCAGCAATCAGCCTTCCAAATTCTCAGGGCACAACCTTCTAGTCACTGTGTGAAAATAGATTGCTGTGATTGGTGTAATAAAAAGCTGAACAGTCGATAGCTAGGAAGAGGTTAGGCGGGACTTCCGGAAGTCCCAGAAGACAGAAAGGACTCTGGGAAAAAGAAGGGTGGAGTCAACAATGAGACTTGGAGGAAGCAGCATTAACAGTATGGAGAGAAGAGGTAACAAGGCATGCAACAGAACGTAGATTAAAATAAATGGGTTAATTTAAGTTATAAGAGCTAGTGGGACAAGCCTAAGCTAAGGCTGAACTTTCACAACTAATAATAAGTCTCCAGATCATTATTTGTAAGCTGGCAGCCCAAAGCAAAGTCTGACTACAAATCACCTAGAAAATATCTGAGCTCCTCCCATGTGCCTTGGTTTTCAGACAGCAGGGGACAAAAGACAAGAAACACTCTCTGCCTTCAAGTCTGGGCTCCTACGGGAAGGGAAGTCATGCACAGTACTGTATTGTTCATCAGCTGAAGATCAGAACTACAGAGGAGTAGGGCAATGGGAGTGAGAGGACCAGCATTTTCAATAAGGGCTTGGGAGAGGCTTCACAGAGGAGGTAGGAAAATACAGACCCAAAAGAGGGGAGGCTCAAAGATTCCCATAGCAGAAAGCTTTCCCTGATCACCTTTATCTCCTTCAGCGATTCACTGCCCACTAACTCTGTCTCCTCCTTCTTAACATTTTATCCTTGACAGGCTATGGATCTGACACCAGGAACATCTGCTATACAGTGAACCTCAAAGATATCCCAACTGAAGGAAGTTATGGCTTCAGTAACTTTGACTTCCTTCACATGAACATGGACAAAGCCAGAGAAGTAGCCAGCTCAAGGGGCTGGAGGGAAAATGACCTGGAGAGAATGGGATGAAAGTATTGGGCTTTTGCAGTGAGAAGACCATTCAATATGCAGCTAGGTTGGAATCCCCAAATCCACTGCATGTGGGATCTTGGCCAAGATATCTAACTTAGCAACGTCTCAATCCTTTCTTATATATGAGAATACACTTCTTCAAAGACTATCACGAGGCATAGAGTGCCAGGCACAGAACACGCTCTTTAAAAAATTTGCTCATACTTGACTCCCTTCTTCAACACTTTATGCAGAAAGCAAGAACAGTGTCCATTCCTCTATTTAACCAAGGGTGATTGTGATGAGCTCAACAGCACACCTAGAATTCTTAGCACTGAATCACCTTCAAGCTTGTCAGTGTGCAGTGCAGTAAACAACACACCTGTATACCATACACCTTTTTTCCTCTTAGCAAAGGATTCATCCCTTCCTGGCCTCCAGTGTGCTATACATATACAATTTGCACCACGTTGTGTTATTTAGAGGGTGGCCGATTATGACACCCCAGCATTTCTGCTGTAACTATTCAGATCACTACTCATTCTGTTTCAAAGGCTTCCTTTGTTGTGGTTTACTTTTATCCATTTATTTAAGATTTTTGTTTGTTTTTTATTTGTAAATGCTTACATGTAAGTGCTTGCCTACATGCATGTAAGTACATCACTTGTATGTCTGATGCCCAAAGAGGTCAGAAGACAGCATCAGATGCCCCTGAACTGGAGTTACGGGTGGTTGTGCTACCATGTGGGTGCTGGGATCCATACTCAGGTCCTATGAAAGGGCAGTAAGAGCTCTTAACCACTGAGCCATCTCTCCAGCCCCAAGATTTATTTGTATTATTTTTACTAATATGTATGAGTGCATGTAAGTACGTCATATGTGTGTAAGTGTCCATGGAGGCCAAAAGAGTACATCAGATTCCCTGAGCTGGAGTTGAAGGTCTTGTTAGCTGCCCAATGTAGGTGTCTGAAATAGAACCCAGGTCCCCTGCAGGAGCAGGAAGGACTCTTCCTGTGGAGCTCCCTGTCCAGCCCCTCCAAGAACCTTCTTGTTCAGCATGCTGAATGTCTTCACATGCCAAGATGGCAAAGCACACAGAAAGTCTCTCTCCGCCTAGGATAGAGCATGACTACAAATGGCCCCTTCTTCCCTGTCTTTCACCTAACAACCTTCTTACCTGTTATTTTTTCCAGCAGTGACACATCCTGTACTTCCTGGGGCAGGGAAGCAATCTTCTGTCGAACAGTAGCATCCCCCGATGCAGCATTTTCCAGATCCTGCAACGCTTTGATTAACTCCTCAGTCTATAAAAGGCAAAGACAAATATATAATCCATTAAGACATAATGGGGTTAAAGAAAATTAGCTAGAGGCAAATTATAAAAACAGCCATTCTTAGTATTAAAAACAGGTCAAAAGTCACACAAACAACTGTTGTTAGGAGCAGGACTTTGTGGATGGAAATGATATGGATTCTAAAGGACAAAAAGTTAATTGTTCTAAGTCTACACACATAAATAAACCTCTATAGAACTCTATTTTTTTTTAATTAAAGGGCATATTTTTGGCACCTTAAAAATATGGACTCTAGTTCATACTGCTTAATTTCAAGTGAAGCACTGTTACAGTATGAAACAGTCTATAATATAGAAAAAAGACATAAATACCAGATGTTGAACAGGTGGGTGTTGGTTGATTAAATTCTTTCTAGAGTTTGCTTTACAAAGAAAAGATCACCACTAATATTAAATGTCAAATGAATTAACTCATTAGGAGTTAAAACAAGAAAAGCATATTCTGTGTCTATCAAAGGGGCTTCACCAAACCCTGAGAAAGCACAGAGTGCTGCTAAGTGGCAGAGCACAGTGACCCAAGAACAGCCAGCTGTGGCGACAGTCAGATCACCCTGAAAGTTGACAATTCAAATTCCTCCCCTTTAAAGGTCTTAGATGCAAAGATAGGGCCTAACATTGCTATTACTTAATCCTGTCTAATCCATCGTTTTAACACTACACAACATATACACACACTTCCTAGTTACCACGTCCTGACCATATCCACGTAGAATACAGTGAGGATGACAAGAGGCAGTCTCATCCAACAAACAGGACATGGACAGCCAAGTATGACGGCATGCACTTGTCATCCCAGTACTGGGGAAGCTGAGGCAGGAGTATTGTTTGTTTTTTTTTAAAATAGGGTCTCATTATATAGCCAGGCTGACCTTAAACCTGTGATCCTCCTGCCTCAGACTCCTCAGGGCTAGTATTACAGATATAATGTGCTATAACAGGAAGATATCAAGTTTAAGGCCAGCAGGCATTACATAGTAAAACTCTTATCTCAAAACATTAAAAACAAAACAAACTTTAAAAAAGCATGGACTCTAAATTGTGACAGATCTGAATTCAAATTAAGATACTTGGCAAATTACTTAAATGCTATTTAATCTCTTTTGTGTGGCTCATTTTCTTTGATGGTAAACAGATGAACCAAACCAAACTTGTTTCATGAGAGGTTATCTAAGGCAAATGCATCCTTAAATGCTAACTCCCTGTTGTAATTCTTATAACAGAGGTTATCATGCAGTAAATTCACTACTGGCAGTTACAAAACTGTCCTTAGATAGTAATAAGTTGTCTGCTTAAACAAGAATGCTATTAGCAACAGGCACAGCAAAGTACTTCAGAATATCTTATCATGCCCATAAATCTGCTTTTAAAGAATATTTTTCATTTTAGGAGACAAAACCAATTCCAAACATAAACCCATTGTGAAGTCGTGGTGTGAAAGCCAGGGTGAAGTCTGATGTCTGAGAAGCTCTGGGTGGGCTATTGTATCTGCAGCCCTTTGACAAATCACACTACTAGGAACAAGCGCCACCTCGTGGTCATGATCTTTCACTTAGAGGTCACCTGGAGTCACTTTGTGCTGGAGTCACATACCAAGAGGGGGCCTGCGGAAGGATCTTGGGGAGAGTAACTTCCAGGGTAGTCATCATCTTCTTCCTCTTGTATCTGCTGAAAAGTTCGTTTCAGAGACTTCTTCTCTTCTGCTGCTAGGAAAATGTGACACATGTGAGCTGCACATCCTGCCCAAACATCCAGTGTTCTGTACAATGACCACAGGTAAATTGAGGGTGGGGTGTGCAGTTTCAGAGATGGCTTCATGCTAACTTTCTTGATAGTTATTTTAAATGGGTGTAACTCCTTACGTTATTGACGAGACAAAAAGTTCCCAGTCTGTCATCTAAGATTGACTCTTTGAATCCAAGAAAATGCTACTGGAAAGCATCTAAAACTGGTATGTCCCAAGCTACCATAGTTAGAACCTTCCTTCCTTTCTTTAAAAAAAGTAAACAGTAAAATGGTACAAAGCATGAGGCAATACAATGAAGTAAACCAACATGTATGAGGGGCACAGAGAACACACTGCATATTAAACAGCTTTATTCTTTCCAAGGATCATTTTGGAAAAAAAATAGGAGGGACAAAACTGTCAAAGATTTCAAGTACAAATACTCTTTGAAATTTTTCTTTAAAACCAGAATAAATCTAATTTTACTGTACAATAAAAAAACAACCATTACTGAGAAACGTGATTGATATTACTGGAAGAAATTACTTAAGTTCTCATTCTAGAATTAACTACTTTTGAGGCTGGCAAGGTACATTCTTTATTATCTGTCCCCTGTGCTTTTACATGATTATGATAGATGTGTTAATTCTAAAATCATTCCTATTGCATCACATCGGGCAACACAAAATAAGCACAAACAACTGGGGGAAACAAGTCTAAATGATAAATCTGCGTAGAAAAGAAATATTGGACACCAAGTATGTGCAGAGCATTGCGATGGTTTCTTTACCTTCATCTTTCCAACAACTCTGACAGAACATTCCATTACAAGCAGAAAAAGACCTAGGGAGGTTAAACAACTCCCTGGCGCAACACTCAAGTCCATACTCTTCCCACTGTATGCGAACAACTAAGCACAAGCACCTTTATCTGTCAAAAAGGGAGTACAGGCACCCGCCTCAGAACTTGTTGCACGTACAGGGCAACTCACAAGGAAGGTGTGCACATGTCCACTTAAGTCTCTTCTGGAACTAAGGATGCAGCTCCTGTTTTCTATCTTATACATGAATTGGCTATGTTAGCAGGAAGGCCAGTCAATAGCATCAACTGTTTTGTTTTGTTTTGTTTTCTTACAGTTTTGTTTGTGGGAGGGAAGGGAGAAAATAACCAGCCACAGTAATGACAGAGGCTGTGCCTGTTTCACACAATGCATAGTATATGGAGAACGGCTCTCACAGTTTAGTGAAATGACACCAGTCCCCAGCACTGCACTTCGGGTCTCTAAGTCCTGGGATGAAGTCATTTCTCTAATGGCTCAGCAGCCAAATCACAATCAATAACCAATCATTTCCTTTCTGCAATGTCTGTCAGTGACAGTCACTGCGCACTGGTTCCTCAGCCCACAAGGACAGGAGAGTAGATAATTGTGTCATCCCATTTCTCAGTGATAGATACCATATCACATTCCATAAAAATAATAAGTAGAGAACAAAAATGAAAGCACAACAAAGAAGCTGCAACAAAAGCTATGGTGGAACTGAATCTGAATGGCACTAAGAGGAGCTGAGAAGTAAGCACTTGAGTAAGTGCTTACTTCTACCCCGCAGAGGGGCCTAGTGATGCTGTGAGGCTAACACTGCAGAGGGACCTAGTGATGCTGTGAGGCTAATGCTGCAGAAGGACCTAGTGATGCCAAGTTAGCAGCAAAAGTGAGGAAAGAGGATGACGGTGGAAGAAGTAACCCCACAGAAACACGTCACACTAAAGCATCTTTCAGAGTCTATCTAGTGACAAATGCCTGCAATCTCAGCCACATAGAGGCTGAGATATCGATTCAGAGTTCAAGGCCAGGACTACACAGCAAGACCCTGTCTCAAAATAAAGTAAAAAGGGCAGAGGATATCAATTCACTGGCAGGACACTTACCCGACACACATGAAGCCCTCTGTCTAATCCCCACCCTTCAAAAAACATTAAAATTAAAAAGGATGTCTCCCCGTTTTAAAACACTTAAAATACGGAAAGCAAGACTGTTCAAACTACTCTTGACACATTAGTTACAATGAAAGTTACTTTATTTCAATATTTCTGCTTTCTGTGTTTCTCTAGCTCTAGGAACGGAACTCAGGGTCTTGGCCTTGGAGGCAGGCCCTCTGTTGTTCAGCTTTATCCTAGACAATGGTTTACTGAGACAGGATCTCGTTATGCAGCTCAAGCTGGCCTTCAAGCTGGTCTCAAACTAGCAATCCTCCTGCCTCTGTCTCCTGAGTCCTGGGACTGTAGGAATGTGTCACTGTGCCTATCGAAAGCAACTGTTAGTTCTACTGTCTTTTTCTTTTCACTATACATTTGTAGTCGGTGTTTAAAAAAAAAAAAGCACAGAATTGTGATTTTCTACACATATTATTAAAGTTCTTTTTGCATAGTTTCAATTTACATGATCATTTTATAGTCTTGCCGCTGTAAGATAATCCTTCTGTACACTATGAATATGTATTACTCTCACTGGTTAATAATAAAGCTGGTTGGCCTATAGCAAGGCAGGATAAAGTTAGGTGGGACAATCAAACTGAGGAGTGGGATGAAGGGTGAAGTTGGGGGAGATGCCAGCAAGCTGCCCAAGAAGCAAGATGCTAGAGGACAGATAAAGCCACGAGTCATGTGGCAATACATAGATTAATAGAAATGGGTTAATTTAAATGTAAGAGCCAGTTAACAATAATGCCTGAACTATCGGCCAAGCATTCTGTAATTAATATAAGATTTTATGCATTTATCTGGGACCAGGTGGTCAGGACAGAAAAGCTCTGCCTCTGTTTACATCTTGCAAAGCAATGATTGATACACTGTTAAGTGGAAAATACACTAGCATATGGTTTACATATGAAATACCCAATAGTACTCAATGCACAGTAACTACTTAACGTATGGAGTGTGGTATGACCTCCACACACTCAGCCATCACAGCATAAAAGTGTCAGGTGAAAGGAGTGGCCACCAGAATATGAATATAAGATCAAAAGAAAAATTATAATGTGTTGGCACTGAAGAGGTGGCTCAGTAGTTAAGAGCATTGGCTGTTCTTGCAGAGGACCCAAGTTCTGTTCTCTTTACCCACATGGCAGCTCACAGCTGTAACTCCAGTTCACATATACATAATTAAAATAAACCAATAAAAACCTTTTTAAAAAAGTTCCAAAAGAAATCTTTTATTGTAAAGGCAAACTGTATAAGTTGCCTGAAGATAATGAATTACCCATGAATCAATACTCATCATGAACAAACTATTCAAATTTGGAAACGAGCCTCTAGGGAGGACAGGAGTGTTTTGGTTTTGAAAGGATGGTAGTAAATGACTTTGATCATCCAGGTCCTGGGAACACAAGAGTGAGCTGCCATGACCAACACACCCAGGGAACCTACTGAGTGTCTGTCTTTAAAGGATGAAGGAGAAGGGGAACCAACGTATACAGACAATGAACCAGCACCTGTCACTGCTAGCCTGTAAAACAATTCCCAACACTGCCACATCTGGGACTGCTCCCTGTGGTGTACAATTGTTTCTCACTCCTCGGCACTCCTTTCCAAAGCACCTAGCACAGCCCAACACGTGTGTGCAGCCAGGCCTGAATGGCCACTTCAACATCGGCTTCAATCTTCCTTTAAGGCAAGAGCTCTCCTGCTTGTCCCAGGCACTATCTACCGAATGAACTGTAAGGCAGGGTACAGGCAAAAACCGCTGGATATTTTCCCCAAACTACTTTAGAGTGAAACTTCCAAAGGCCACAATGCTGTCACTACTGGAGCCCAAGGCAGCAAACACCTTGCTTTTCAGCAGCACTTTTTAACAGTTCTAGGTAAATCCTTTCACAATGGCCCAAAGCCTGAAAGCCCTTTCTTAGAAAGCCTCTTTCAGTTTACTGTAAAGCACATGCCATTGGCAGAGCTGTGTGCACGGCACCAGAGAACAAGGAGGGATGGCTACATAGCCCACAGCAAGGAAGCCATGGTGGCATGGGAGCCAGGGTGGCATTCCTGGAGAATGCACTGTCACAGGGAAAGGGTGGAAAGATGTGTTGTAAAGTGCAGCAGGTACAGAGCTTAAAAGGGCACTCAGAAACTCAGTCTGCCCAAAGAACCAGGAGCACTGTGAGGGCATGGAAGAAGAATCTGCAAGTGGATCAGTCCACATCAGAAAACCTCCTCAATGTGGTGAGTACTTGGACTTGACCCTCAGCAGTAAGCTTAAATGGAGTCAGATCAGAGTGACTCCTGCTTAGGAGCTTGTCATGCCAACTAGAAGTAACCCACAACTAACCAAAGACTGAAAACCCAAACATCTGAATTTATTCTTTAGAGAAAGAAGTAACATAAACTCTTTTTTTTTTTTTTTTTGGTTTTTCAAGACAGGGTTTCTCTGTGTAGCTTTGCACCTTTCCTGGAACTCACTTTGGAGACCAGGCTGGCCTTGAACTCACAGAGATCCACCTGCCTCTGCCTCCCAAGTGCTAGGATTAAAGGCGTGCGCCACCACCGCCCAGCTTATAAACTCTTAAGAACTTCAAAATTTACATACATACTTCCCAAGGATATCCTGGGCTCAGTAAAGATCAAAATCAACATAGACAATAAACTATCAATCATAAAAGTATACAAAACCAGATTTATTATCAATAAAGCCAAGTTCTAAAAGGGCAAGGGACTTATAGGAGGCCCTGCTGTGGACAATGTCAGGGCCAGGACGAGGTAGTCCTTAGTCAACCACAATTCTAAAGAAGGTGGTTGTTCCTTCCCTGTGTGGGGGCAGTTCCTGAAGGAGCAAGGCGGGCCAAAGGAACACACGGGAGTGAGGAGGGAAAGCATGGCAGCAGGACACAGGGCCAGGCCTGCCCAGGGCCAGCACTGCAGGAATTCTCACCATCGCTCAGGATCGTCTCGCTCTGAAGAGTCAGAAAGCGGCTGGTGGATCCCAGCAGCCCCAGCAGCCCCCACTGCAGCTTTTCATGTAGGGTTGGGAGTAGCAAAGACCAAGAGCTGTAAACATGTGGTGATGGGTCTACCTTTGGGGGGAGGGCTCTTGGAGTCCTCCATAGACAGCTTCAGCTGCTGTATGAACTCGCCGCCATACACACTTCGTTCTTGCCAGATGTTCAGCAATCTTTCTAAAGGTTTTTTACAGCCTTCATCTGCCTCTCTGCCCAGAAAAGATGAAAAGATATAAATATAAGCTTAAGTTTTTGTTTTTAATTAGGACAGATCTACTTAAAAAAAAAAAATCAACAACGGCCAAAATGATTTACATACTTAAAACAAGAATGTGGTACACCCTGTGCTACGTGGACTCCCAAATCTTGACAGAAACTGCATTCTTCCCATGGTGATGGGGAAGAGGCATCCCATAACCCAAGGAATCTTTTTTTTCCCCTTAGAAAGGTAGAGAGAATAGGAAAAAAGCCTATTTGACTGGTTTTAACAGACAGAAAATAAAACTGACCATATCAATTGTGGCAACTTGCCTTTTCAGAAAACATCAATTCAAATTAAATCCTAGACACAGACTGGAAATTAAAATTAGCCAAACTTTTAAGATTTTAAAAGCACAAATGTTTAAATTTACATTAACACAGCAACATCTCTACACACATACACATATGTGCTAAAAGTATCTCAACCTTAACTACATCATAATGACTTTAACACTGGGCTGACCCTGAGTTCTGTGTCCACACTCATGTATCTAGTGAATAATCTTGGAACACACTGGAAATAATGTAGTCCTTTTTAATTTACAACTGAAAGAAAAAGTTAGGTAATTTTTGCTGGTATGTTGACACAGTGTTAACCTCTTACCTACTCAACGTCTGAGATGGCAGCAGACAAGCAGGAGATTTTCTGAAAAGACCCAGGCCCTGCCTGCCCGCTGGGTTCCTGTGCACTCTGTTCAGTGAGAATGCACAAAAGCCACATCTTAACACTGAGCACCGTAAGAAGGGTCACCGTAAGGCTCACAAGATGGCTCAGCAAGTAAGTATGCTTGCCTCCAAGCCTGACAGCCTGATTTCCATACCCAGGACTACATACTAAAAGAAGAGAAACAATTCAGGCAAGTTTTCTTGTCTCTCATGAGTGGGTCATGCCTCTCTCTAAATTAATTAGTTAATTAAAATGTAACTGTTAAAAAAGGGAGACCCTGAGTTAGAGATGTAGCTCAGTTGACATGCTTGTCCAGCCGTGGGTTCAATACCCAACACTGCAAAAGCTGATTGGCATGGTTGGCAATGTCTGTGATCCCAGCACTGGGGAGCGGAAGGCAAGAGGATCAGAAGTTCAAGGTCATCCATCCATCCTCAGCTACACAGTGAGTTTGAGGCCAGACTCGGATATATGAAACTATGCCAAAACAGGGAGGGGAAAAGACCTCCACATCTTAGGTACAAAGTCAACTGTCTTCACTAAGTACCTCAAGAACACCAAATTCAACTGAGATGGGAGCTCTACCCACCCTCAGCACTGACAGCACTTCTGCGATGCTATGCTAATGCTCTATGCTAATGCTCAGCCTGGTCTGGTCGGATGGCCTACTTACAAACTACTAGTAGCAAGTCAACTAAACTACGATCAAAGTACTAAGTCAGGAAACATATAATGTTTTATAATTTTTTTCAACTCAGAGGTAAGCACTAGGAAAACAGGGAAATGCTTCTGCTACATCTTAAAGAGCTCAACTATAAGCAAGCTCTCTGGTGTTTATGCCGAGACATCTATTTTCAAAATATATGCAGAAAAGAGTTACTCTCACCGCTTCCTTCCTCTGCCAACAACCTGGCCCAAGCAGCAGCCATCTCCGTCCAGCAGGCCTTCTCCCATAGCCTCATTACCGCTCTTCCTGCCTCCAGCCTTGTCCTCCTCCAGCCTACTCAGGGTTTAATAATGTAATTCTAGCTGCTGGGGGAAGGCACTTCTTGTTTCTTTCCACTCTCCTCAGAGCAGACAGAGTCCTCACAAAGCCCTCGAGGCTTTTCAACCTGGCCTACCTACTCTGGTCCTCAGGCCTAGACCCTGCAGCCAGCTCTCCTGAGGTGGCTCTCAGTCCCGCCCCCCTCTTCAGCAGCACTTCCCTAGTCCCCCAGTGACTTCCACTGCTTGCCCCACCTTCATTGTGTCCCATACAATTAGCTCTCACATGCTGTACAAAATAGTTGTTTACTTGTTCTGTATAAATGCAATTTCTGGACAGAGGGGGTTGTATGTGTCTCCCCCCGCCCAAGGACCATATTGGCTGAATCAGTCTTTTTTGAAATTTTAAAACCTTTTTTGAATTCTATATAAAGCATGTGATTTCCAACTTTTCTGCAAAGTCATTCAAGTCAAAAATTAACTGAACTAACTGGTTTTGAAATAAGTCATCCCAGCGAAACAGAAGTCACTGTAGCACCCAGAATCAGATCGAGCTAGAGCAAAAAAGCAGCTTGACAAAAAAAGGGGCACTACCTTTGCAAGTTACACAGATTTCATTCTAAATTGAGAATTCTTGAGGCTGGAAACGTAGCTCATTTGGCACTGCTTGCCTACCATGGACAAAGACCTGAGTTCAGTCCCACCCCTGCATAAACTGGGCATGGTGATGAGTGCCTATAACCCCAGAACTCAAGGGGAGAAGGCAGGAGGATCAGTTCAAAGTCATCTCTGGCTACACAAATACTCTGAGGCCAGCCTGGGCTACATGAAGACCTGTCTCCAAACAAAACAAATAAATGATTTGTATATGAGAAATAGCTAAGTGAAAATATTTTAAAAATATGTGCTATTGAACTATGGAAAAAAAGAAATAATTACTTACACACTGAGTATGTATGTTGAATGTTTAGTATATATTTAATTCTAATTATGAATTCAACCTATGCTTACTTTTCTAATACAGATGTCCAAAACTAACCAAGTCATAGTATGTAGCACACACACAGCACTGTTTCTTCAAGTGTCAGCTGGATCCTAAGCCCTTGCCAAGCTAGCCTTAGGGACTTTCCTTCCTGTGCTTCCATGGTATTTCTTTGAGGAAACACACACACACACACACACACACACACACACACACACACACACACACACACACGCATGCACACGCACACACGCACACACACTTTTCATATGTGTATTTTATATGCGTTTTTAATTTGTACATCAGTCTTACCCATATATAACAAGTCTGTGGTAGACCCAGTAGAAGTAGAATCCTTTCTTCTAAGATGTCAGCTTTTCCCACAATACCTCATGCAAAGCTCGAACAGAAAACCCCTTCATAATTGTTCAGAAAGAATTGATGGGGCTGGAGAGGTGGATCAGCAGTTAAGAGCATAGTCACAACCAGCTCCAACTCTAGCTCCAGGGAGAATCTGTTGCTTCTGGCCTCCATAAGCACCTGAACTCATGTGCACATGCACCCCCATAAACACACAAACTGAAAATAAACCTGAAGAAAAAGAATTAAGCACTTGGGAGGCAGAGGCAGGAGGATCTCTGAGTTTAAGATCATTCTGGTCTACAAAGTGAGTTCCAGGACAGCCAGAACTACGAAGAAAAACCCTGTCTCAAAACCTGCTCCTCCCCCAGAAAGAGAGAGAGAGAATGAGAATTAATATAAATGCTGTGTCCTAGAAAGACCTGCTGTCAACTGGTGGCTGCTGATCATTTGTGTATAAAGTGGTCCCACAAGAAGTATCCAATACTGAAGACTCTGACTCCGGCCATGCAGATGCTGTGGATAAAGGAGGGCCAGGAAGGTGCTTATATCATCAATGAGTTCACAGCTGACTGGACCATTAGGAGATATGCTTCAGAGGGGCCCCTCCAATCCCTCCCCCTCTTTCCTAGCCATCCTGAGGGCTCCAGCATACACTCCCTGCTGGGATGTTCCTCCTCCCTCCATTCCAAAAGAAGTGGAGCTGGCAGCAGGAACTGAAACTTCATGAGGCCAGAGGGATCCTTAGTCCCTTATGCTTATCTCTGGCATTTTCCCACAGTGACAGAAAGCTAAGACAGGAGTACTCCTGGGGACTGGGGCTTCAGGGCGATGCTCCACTTCCTAATGATCTCGGTGGTTTGTGTCTCAACTGTGTAAACGAAATGGTTCTACATGAATGACTGCGTACTTCCAGGAATAATGGAAGAGGTGCCTTCCAATATCTCAGCTGAGTCTCTCCCCATCAGAATGGATTCCAAACCTGCTGTCACAATTACCCATGCACCTTCCCCCTTTGCTGATCGTCTGTATCCCTGGGTGTAGTAAATCAGAGCCATGAGCCCTCCTAGGAAGTTACCCACCTGGGAGAAGTACAGAGACCCACAAACAACAAAGAAGTCTCATGTATTTGGCAATAACTACTGATTTATCTCTCAAGAAATTAAGTCTCGGATCAGAAAAGATGGCTCAGTGGGTAAAGGTATGTGCCACCAAGCCTGACAACTGGAGTCCAATCCCTGGGATTGAGTGGAAGGAGTGAACTGACTTCTGAAAGTTGTCCTCTGCCCTCCACATTTGCTATAGCACACGCATAGACACATGAGTATATATACACATACACACACAAATGTAATTTAAAAAAAAAAAAAATTGGAGGCGCACGGGGCGGGGGGGGGGGGATGGGACTGAAGAAGTAGTTCAGCAGTTAACAGCACTTGCTACTCTTTCAGAGGACCCAGATTTGATTCTCAGCACCCACATGGCAGCTCACAACTGCCTATAACTCCAGTTTCAGAGAGCTGATGATGCCCTGTGTGATCTGTGTGGGTACTAGGCACACATGTGGCACACAGACATGCATGAAGACAAAATGCCCATATATATAAAATAAGAAAAAATTTAAAACTCTATGAATTTTAAACTACTTTACCCATGTGTCTATCCATAATTACCCCCTTGGAACACCGAACTAGTCATTTCAAACTTAACATGGCCAAAATAAAACAAAAAACATTTCCTCCATCAAATCTTCTTCAGTAAACAGTACCATCAACCATTCACTTACACTAAACATTTTTCTCTTTCCTCACCACCAGCTCCCACCCAATTCCAACACATTGTACAAATTTTACAGGAGAGAAGACTCTATCTACAGAATAAGCATTCAATAAATGGAGACAGCCTTCTCATTGCAAATGCCTTAACTGATCTCACCTTAGCCAACACCACAGCAATACCTTCCAAACTCAAGCTTTCTTGCCCTTCATAACCCATTCTCCACACAAGCCTTTTACATACACACATGCACACACACACAGTGTGCATGCATGCATGTGCGAGCAATCTGAGTGCGTATGTGTGTTCACATCTGTGTGTACACGCATGTAGAGGCTTGAGGTTGATATTAGGCGCTTCCCTCAATTGTTCCCCACTTTACATATTGAGATGGGGTCAACTGTACCCAGAGCTTGCCAATTCAGCTTAGGCTGGCTTTTACCCCGACTCATCTATTCAAAACAATACAAGCCTTTAAAAATTTAAAAGAATTTTCTCTACATTGTAATGAGATGTATACACATGCCTTATCAACATATGAGTAGCTGAATAAAAAGAGAGAAATCTCCTAGTATACTGAACTTTATTTTTTTAGGTACAACTTTTGCCTTAAGTCCTTACTCATTATGTTACAAATGGTTAAACTTTTCATGAACTAATGGCAACACAATTAACAAATGGATTGACAGGAAAAAAATCCTAGATATATGCTTAGGTTTCTTTTTCTCTTTAATTTTACCAGGGCTTTAGATATTTCCCCTTTTTATTTTTATTTTTATATTTTATGAAATGATAATTACGTCTTTTCCCTTCCCTCTCTCCAAACCCTCCCATATACCCATTCCAACCCCCTTTCAAATTCACAGCCTCTTTTTAGCTGTTATACACATATGTGTATAAGTACAAGATTTTTAAAAGAAGGATAATTTACAATGTCTATGGGAATTGTTTCATTCCCTGGCTTAAAATCTTGACTGACATCCTATCAGAAAAGACTCTCAGGGAGTATTTAACTAGTTCCTTTCTACCTCTCTCTGATCTCATCTGGGGCTACATCTCACTTTGCTCACCATATCCACTGGCTTACATCCTGTTCCTTTTAAGATACCATGATTAGTTCTACCTTAGGTTCTCAAATGTCACTTCCTTACCCACAATGCCTAGAAGAGATCCCACCCCAGAACACTATTCTACTTAACTGTGTCCATATCATTTCAAGATGTTTTGTTCTCTTCACTGTCCTTGTCTGCCTTCTTCCCTGATACTCCCCAGGCTCTGGATCAGCATGTGACATATAAAGAACACTCATATATGTTAAATGACGAATGTGTAACTACTTTCAAACTTAAAGAAAACAGGGTACTTGTAACCATACATGTTCATAGTCTGGCTAATTAAACTGCTACTTAAATCAAATCTACCCTATGAACACTGTGTTTTCTCTGAATTCAAATATTTTTTTGCTTAGGGATAGAAGCATCATAAAAAAGATTGCTAATCAATTTGAGGATTAATGGGTCAGCCACTTTTGTTCACCGTCTGGCCACAGCAAAAGCACACCATGAGCACATACTAAATTACTTTTGGTTGATAATGTCCATTAGTACTAAAGTAACTATTGTACTTTCTGTTCTAATAATGGGGTAAAGGAGATAGGCCTAGAAACATGGTTCAAACTGGACCTTAAACAGACTGGAGTGCAGACAGGAGCTGGGAAAAGTCAGGTAGAATATACCAGGATGTTTTTCCAGCACCTTCTGATTCCATTTCTTTGTGACAAGATCTCACTACATAGTCCAGCCTGGCTTCTGAGTGCTGGAATTACAGGAACGTGTTGCCATACCTAGCTTCTATATAGTTTTAGATGAGTCCACACACTAGACAAGCCCTCTGAATCTTGGTACCCACCTTCTAGTCCTTTCTACTTGTCCTTTCCTTATTTAAGACAGTAAAAATAATGCCAGGTGGTGGTGGTGGTGGTGGTGCACGCCTTTAATCCCAGCACTCAGGAGGCAGAGCCAGGCAGATCTCTGTGAGTTTGAGGCCAGCCTGGTCTACAGAGTGAGTTCCAGGACAGGTACCAAAACATCACAGAGAAATCCAAAAAATAAAAAATAAAAAATAAAATAGTAGAAAATATTATTATTTTAAAATAAAAATGTTAATTTACTACCCTTGTGGGGTAATTCCTTAAACCAGATCTTGTCCCAATTAGTCACTATTATCCTAATTCAATCAACGAATATTTACTAAATCCCTGCTCAGCACCAGGCCAGACCCCAGTGCTGCTAGGTCTTGGAAAGCCCTGTGAAAAGCTATGTAAATGCATTCCCTGAACTGGAGGCTGTGGGCTAGGTACTACAAAGTGTGCAGCCCGGGAGCTAGGAAAAGAAACAGTCCTTCCCTACTGGGAGTGTAGTGCATGAAAACGGTTGGGTAAAATGTGGACCAGGTTTCACAGAACTTCTCACTCTACTAGGAGTCACAGTAACTAAGAGATAAGAAGTTTCCATGCCTTTTAACTAGGTAAGAAACTTGAGCTCAGAAACTTAACTGACATACCCAAGGCCACTCACATGATGTCTGAGACAGAGCAGGATCTAAGGCACCTAACTAAACCTTATCAAAACAAATCCCTGTCTCCAATTCCAGATAGCTGCTCCAGCGGTCTAAGGTAAGCCTACCAGCTGTTCCAAGACTCGGTAATTTTCTTCAAGTTACTAAGATGTTCTGCTACTTCCATGCCCACATTCATCAGAAGCCAGCATCACAGGTAGAAGCAAAAATCCTTTCCAGATTTAGAAAGCTAGATGTGGTTTTTAAATTTCTGGACTCCTAATTTTATTCCTCTGAACATTTCAAATCCTTCAAGAAATACAGACTGAAATTCCCATTTAAGACCTTTACTCACACCTTCTTAGACCCCAGAACATTTTTGTTTCACCCACTAGTCTTATTTTCACTCTTCTTGGTTTCTTTTTGCAAAGATCTGTATATTGTTTGTGCACCCTTACAAACACAACAGTCTACCAAATAAACAAAACCCACAATTTTCCTCCTGGGAACCTAACTCATACCCACAACAAGATGTGAAAATAAGCACAAGTGATGTAAAGTGTTAACCGGTATGAGCTTCCTCCCAGCTGCCTGAGTGCTCCACAGTCCCGCGCTCACTGCAATTCCAGAAGCAGACTCACTACAATCGGCTCAAGCATCTCCTTTTCCACACTTAGAATGACTAGTTTTGTAGTGACAGTAATGACTACTATTTTTAGCAAACTAGAAATCGAGAAGGAAATAAAGAAGTCTCAGGAGCCAATTTCTGCTATTGAAGAGACATTACTAAAAGGCTCTTTCATCCTGCTACCTCTGGGTTTTGATCATAAACAAATGAGACAACTTAGCCATGGAAAACATACTCAAGAAAGAAATCCAGGAGGTGAATTCAGGGGAAAAGATGTGTTTCTGGTACCAGAATGAATCTCTTCAGTGTTTCAAAATGTTTATATGTCTGAGATGATAGTTAAGGGCCCAGAAAAACATAAAACCATAATTTGCCCTTCGAAACACTTTGTAAAGTACAAAGTTGCCAATTTACAAAGGATATTACAAAAATAGAACAAAAAGGTGCGAAATTTAAAAGCCCCCAAGTAGAAAACATACCTGGCAACGTGAGAAAAAGCATCCACAAGGACAGATTCAAATTCTCTCGTGAACTCAGGTCCTTTCCTTTTACTGTTCTGGATGACATCATTTGCTAAGTATAGAAAAGTAAGCTTTCTATTTGATTTGGCTGGAAAAAAAAAGAAGAAAAAAAAGGACAATTTAACTTATACCAAAGAAATTCAAATTAATGATTGTTAGGCTATTCCTAAAGAACGTTACAAATGAGGAGATAGTTCACCAGGGAAGGCACTTGTGGCACAAACATGAGGACTGGAATTTGGATCTCAGCACCCAAATAAAAGGCCAGGTGGAGGTTGGTTCTCTGGGGCTGGCAGCTAGCTAGGCCAATTGGTGAGCTCCAGGTTTAAGTGAGAGATTCTACTCTACTCTATAAGGTGGGTAGTGGTTAAGGAGGACACATCAACCTCTGGGCTACACACACACACACACACACCTGCACATACAAAAAACACTAAGGTGAGTTCTACCTCTCAGAGTCAAGTAAGTGGATAAAACAATGGGATAAAATACCCTTGAGGTCTCTAACATGCACATCTGGGAATACAATTTTGGGAGAAGAATGAAAAACATCAGCTTCATTTTTGTGTTACTTGAACCAGGGTAATTAACTGGCAGCAAAAATAAAGATAATTCAAGGAAAATTCTTAAAGATAAGCTGTCAATCTTAATGCTAAGCCAAGGTGTTCATTCACTGTACTGTGAGGATGTCTACTTCAAATACAATCTTCATTACCAAATGTTCTAGAGTGAAACACTGAGTTACGACTCAACTTTGAAAGATAATCTTGTAATTGATGCTCTCAACTGATAATTTTTCTGAGATGCCAATAACCATAGTCAGCCAATGACACTGACTCTACAGTCCAGAAGATTCTCTAGATACACCAATGAACGTTAATCTCAAACACAAACATGCAGAAATGCTGTATTATTGTTGAAAATTTACACACATCTCAAATCTGAATATGCAAAATTATGACTCCCACGAAAACCATAATTCTTCTCTGTTACACATACAAAATGTACTATTTTCTATTACTCTATATGGAATCATATATTAAACCATAAAAGCTTCATGCAATACACCTGAGTTACAGCTGCTTGGGGGAACATTCCTGAATTTTCTGGCTTCTATGCACATAAGTTCTCAACCCTAAAGTTATATCACTACCAATTTTGGTCCTGGTTTTCTTTTAAAAGAAATAAATATGAATATAATAAGATGTTTCAAAACAGTTTTCTTCAATGCTAGAGAGAAAACTCTAGCAGTATTTATGCCAACTTTTACACAACTGTGTTCCTAGCCATTACTCCAGTGCTCTCAAAGAACACTTCTGAAAAGCACAGTAGGCCGAACTGACATTTTAAAACTCAGCTATAGAATAAGTAAATTAAAAACAGGGTTTTAAAAGCACATTATAGTTGTTCTGATTGTTTTTTTCCTTTTTTAAAATAATTTATTTTTATTTTATGTGCATTGGTGTTTTGCCTGCATGTATGTCTGTGTGAGGATGCCAGATACCTTGAACCTGGAGTTACAAACAGTCGTGAGCTGCCATAGAGGTGCTGGGAATTGAACCTGGGTCATCTGGAAGAGCAGCCAGTGCTCTCAACTGCCAAGCCATCTCTCCAGCCCCTTATTTATTTTAAGACAGGGTCTCAATATGCCTGGCTGCACATTAAAGTTTAAATTATATCCTAAAATGCTCACAGAATTAGATAGGGAGATATTGAACTACATTAGCCATCCAGTAATAACCTAATTTAGATAATTAACTGAGGAGACTGTAGGAAACCTATACCTGTCATAATGATTATTCAAAAGCAAAGCCAAGTCAGGCATATTGAGTAGTGCATGCCTTTAATCCCAATACTGGGGAAAGAGAGGCAGAAAAATCTTCATAAGTTTGAGGCCAGCCTAGACTACCTAGAGTTAGCAAATTCCAAGGTAGTCAGAACTACACACTGAGACTATAAAAAAAAAAAAAGTCAAGATAAAAGTATCCAGAGTTGATACAGTGTCTCACTGCTGCTACATACAAAGGTGGGATTACAGCAAGACTGGAGAGACAGCTCAGCAGTTAAGAACACTCCTATAGCTGCACATCCTTCTCCAGGGCCTCCTAAATCTAGTCCTAATCCCCATCAAAGAAACTCTTCTTTGCAATAGATGGAGACCATGACAGAAAACCACAACCAATCAAAATGCAGTTGCAGAGCCCAGTCTCATCTACAAAAAACAAAACAAAACAAAAAACCTGCACCTAAGGCTCAGGGATCAGGAGAGGAGGTAGAAAGATATTCCAAGTCAGAGGCTACACCCACAAAGTCTCACCAACGTGACTGCCTAAACTTAACTTATGAGCTGAACAAGGACAACAGCAGACATGCTAACACGGACAGAGGAAAGACCCTGAGGCCTCAGCCCTACACAAAGAACTACAGGCAACTAAGGAATGCTGAGAGGGAGAGAGAGTCTTTCTCAGTGAACAACATAGCAACTGGTTATCCAATACCAAATAGTCAGCCCTGAAACCACATATATGAGTAACATTATACTGACTGAGCTGGTTATATTTAGAAATATATATGTATATACATGTAAGTACGTAACAACAATTAATTTAAGAAAGAAAAAGAAAAAAGAGGCTGTGTGAGTGTTCTGGTGCACTCCTTTAAACCCAGCCCTTGGGAGACAGATGCAGGTGGATCTCTGTGAGCTCAAGGCCAGTTGAGTCTATAAAGGGAGTTCCAGGAAAGCCAGAGCTGTTACACAGAGAAACCCTGTTTCAAAAAAAAAAAAAAAAAAAAAAAAAAGAGGCTATAAATTTGAGAGAGCAAGGGGTATGTGGGAAGGTTTGGAGGGAGGAAAGGGAAGGGGAAAATGATGTGATTATATTATAACCTCATTAAAAAAAACTAATCTTAAAAATGATGCAATTAGGCCGGGCGGTGTTGGTGCACGCCTTTAATCCCAGCACTCGGGAGGCAGAGGCAGGAGGATCTCTGTGAGTTCCAGGCCAGCCTGGGCTACCAAGTGAGTCCCAGGAAAGGCGCAAAGCTACACAGAGAAAACAAAAACAAAAACAAAAAAAAAAAAAAAATGATGCAATTAAAATGTCACATAAGTTAAACAAAATAAAGTCAAGAGTGAAAATAGAAAAGAGGAATATAACACTCTACTCAAACATATTGAAGTTCTCAGTTCTGATAAGCATCTAATTCTATAACCCAAAACTCAGTATCTATGCTTTGGTCACTCAGATCAGGGTTAGCACAGCTTTCCTTTTATAATGTTTTAAGAAATAATAACAAACTATTATTTTGATTTAAGGGGAAAAATCAAGCTGTGTATGACTTTTGCCTTTGATCATAGCACCTGAGAGACAGAGAAAGACAGATCTCTGTAAGTTCCTAGGCAGCCAGGGCTACATAGTAAGACCTCATCTCAAAAAAAAAAGGCAGACTCACTACTCTTCCAGAGGGCCCAAGTTTGGTTCTCAGAACCCACATGGCAGGTCAAACTGCCTATAACTACAGTTCCAGGGGACCCAATGCCTCTTTCAGCCTTAATCACATTGGGCCACCCTAAAAGACAAGTACCCTGTGTGTAGCAGCACTGTGACACAGCAAAACACACAGTACACACATCTCACTACTCCAACTCTAGGTGACAATATGACAAAATGTATCTTCCCACCTCCTACCAAAGCCCATTAAAAACCAGTAGAACTAGTTGCTGAGTCAAGTTTAAAGGACTGGCTAATCAAAAAATTTTTTATGTATAGAGAAAGGTTACAAAGTATTCTAGAAAAAAGGAACTACTTACCTACATTGTGGCCACAATTAAAAAAAAAAACCAACATAAAAATAATTCATCTTAGCCAGGTGTGGTAGCACACACACCTTTAATCCTAGCACTTGGGAGGCAAAGACAGGCAGGTCTTTGGGAGTTTGAAGCCAGCCTGGTCCACATGGCATGTTCCAGGCCAGCCAAGGCTACATACATAGTAAGAGAGAAAAAAATAATTTTTTTCTGTCTCAAAAAAAACATAAAACAAAAAACCAAAATCATCAAATAGCCTCATAATGACAAAATATTCCATAAAGGAGAGAAGTTCTACCTACAATCTAAAAGGACCAATTCGTAATTCCTAGAAAGTGGAAATAACATTAAAAACAAAAGCAATTCCTAAGCAAGAGGAAATCATTTTTGTAATGCTCACAGGTACTTTGATGACAACTCAAAGATGGTGGCAATGTCTTAGACGGGAAAAACAATCCATAAACCCAAACGGCCATTTGTAAAGGCTCAGGGGGAGCTAGAACACCAGGAGCTAGTCGGTTTCAACATCAGAGCACAAACCCTTTTCTGCTGTAATATGGGGCCACTTTCAGTTCACAAGAGAAACTGGCTAGCAGATGAACACACACCTCAATGCTTGGGGAAGAACTCTAGCTCTACAAGATCCAATCCGGTAGCCATCAGCCACGGGTGGCCAGTCAACACGTGACTAAGCTAATAAAACTGGAGAACTGAATCTTCACTCATATTTATTCAAAAGTGTAGTTCCTTTGTCACCATTTTAAATCGCCAGCAGTGACATGGAGTAAGTGGCTGCCCTGTGGACAACACAGCACAACCCCGAGACTGCCGCAGACAACTGAGCCAGTGCTGTATAGATCTTGACTCAAACATGAAAACATTATCAGAAGCACAACCAAACTGCTAAACTAATTTTTAACTAGGTAACAGACACAATTCTAAGCTCATTAGAGGGCCCTGGTCAAAACACACCTAGTGAAGAAGACCTACTGAGAGTGATGGGATGGGGAGACCATTCAGTCGAGGACAGCCAGCTGCACTCAGACCACACCTCCACTCGTGAAGATCACCGAGGCACGGGGCACTTGAAAAAGCACAAGTCTTGGAGATCAGTCCTCCCTGGGCCCGTGTCCTAGCTAGGGACCCCTGAGCAAGCCACTGACCTTGCTGTATCTGTAAAATGGGGATAAGAATGCCAGCCTACTTGCTACATAAGACTCTATCAGCTAAGATCAGAGATAAGGGAGCTCCAGCCATGAAAGCATCCTCTCCACTGCTATTCTCTAGCATAACCCAAATAGGGTATGGTAAGGAATTGAGAAGGTGTCACAAAAGAAGTGTGAGACGGGCTGACAATTTCAAGATGATCAAGAGATTCTACCAAACAGGTAGATTCAGCAGGTCACTGGCAGTTTTCTCTTGTCTCCACAGATGTTGTAGATATTTGACTGGCACAGCAGACCGGGAACCCCAGGCTCTACCTAACTGTCCCAGAGGGCTGAAGGGACTCCTATCGAAGCATAGCAAATCATAACTGGGAGGCTCTGCAAGAAGCCTAGAGTACAGTCTCCTGAAAAAAAAGAATCTCTCTCTCTCTCCTGGAATTTGGTGCCTGCATAGCCTCACCAGTTCAAAGACCTCAAACATACCATTATCCACGTCACTTTCCTCATCTACAACAAAGGGTGATACCTCAGAGAGTCAAGACACACGTGGAGTTACTTTCCACTACGCTTCAATTCTTCAGCCTTCTGCTAAGGAACCCAGCACAGTGTGAGCTGGCACTGTATGTGTCCTGCCCACAGCTCCACACCAAGTGTAGCAGCCTGAAGGCAAAAACCAAGCCACACACTGGGCAATCAACAGGCCTACCTTACCACTTCTCCTCAAGGCTGCACTGTGCCTACAGCACACTAAAATGTTGACTGGACTGTCCTGGCTTCTGACCACAGTCGGCTTCGTTGAACCCTGGGTTTCCCCCATCTGCAAAGTTCCTACTTCAAAAGGCTCTGAGAATTATAAAAACAAAACAACACGGTGGCACCTGCTGTTAGTCCCAGTATTCGGGAGGCAGCAGCAGGTGGCTCTCTGAGGCCAGCCTGGGCTACAGAGGGAGTTCCAGGCCAGGGCTAGCTAAATAGTGAGGCCCTGTCCTAAAACAAAAACAAAAGCAACCTACCTATAGTGACACACGATAAAGCCAAGGCAATATAAGTTATCACCATCTCCATTTTCTTTTTGTTTGTTTGGGTTTTGCTTTTGTTTTTTGTTTTCTCGAGACAGGGTTTCTCTATATAGTTTTTGGTGCCTATCCTGGATCTCGCTCTGTAGCCCAGGCTGGCCTTGAACTCACAGAGATCCACCTGCCTCTGCCTCCCGAGTGCTGGGATTAAAGGCGTGTGCCACCACCGCCTGGCACCATCTCCATTTTCTCTACAAGGAAACACAAACGACACAGAGGTTAAGCTGCTGAGGTAAGTGGCAAAGACAGGCTTAACTTCCACACAGACGCCAGAGACAACTTGCTATTAAGTGTCCAACACAGGGCTTGAAAAGTAACAGGCAGGGCTCAATGAGTCAGATTCTGAGAGTCTGAATTTATGGCAAGTGCAGAAGGCTACCCATCTGACAGGGCTGTTCTGAAGTCTATGAACAGTGACCGACATGGAGTAAAGTTTGTAAGTACAGCTAACTTTGTGTCGGTCTTATAGATAGATAAGAATACACAGACACAGGGATATGAAGAATCATGCCCAATATTACTTAGCTAGGAAGTGATTGCACCAGGTCTCAATGCAGAGTGTCTGGCCAGGGACCGCTGGATCTTACTCCAAATGCCCCAAACAGGGTCTGGTGCATAATGCTTACAGCTCCCAGCACAGGCAAGATTTAAAAGCAAAACAAACCAACAACTGTCGCCAAGTGTGAGGGGGAGTCTGAGGAGGACAGCAGCTTAATAACTCCACGTCTGGGCATCTGAGCCCTTGGAACCTCAGATGAACATCGTATGCCTCCCTGGGCCTCAGTTTCCCTCTCTGAGAAACGTAGAAGCTCCATCAGAGACCCAGGCCCGCAAAGGAAGGCTTAGTTAAGAAGGTAGAAGGGCCCGGGGACAGACCCAGGGGAGAGCCCGGGGGTGGGGGTGATCACCTTTGCGGAGCTCGCGGTGCCACACGGAGACGATGGGTCCTGCATGCTTGCGGTGGTGGATGAGCCACAGGGACAGGGTCTGCACGCTCTGCTGAGAGTTGCTCAGCTCTGAAAGCTTCTTTTCCAGCGCCGACTCTGAGAAGGAGGACATGGTGGCGACGGCGAGGAGCGGCCTGGGCCGCCCGGTGAGACGGAGAGGGCGACCGCACTCGGCCCAGGCCTCCCCTGACAGGATGCAGGGCTCTCCGCCGACTGACAGACGGCCAGGGGTACCAGGCTGGGGGAGGGGACAGGTCTCCGCAGTAACAGCCGCCCGCGCCGCCGCCACAAGATGGCCACCCGACCTCTCACCCCGCCGCCACGGGGTCAAAGGGCAAGGGCCAGAGCCGGGCGCCGGGAGGCCTCGGAGCCGGAGGGAAACGATCCGTGGGAGGCGGCAGCCTCTTCGGGCCTCGCTCAGGGGGACTTCGAACGGGGCAGGCCGAAGGAACAATCCCAGGTCCTCGGCCCCCGAAAGGCGCTTTAACCGCTCGCGCCCGCGCGCCGGCGCAGTGAGCCTCACCGAGACCCTTTCTCCCGCTCCGGCAGGACTTTTCTGGCGCGGCGCGGCGCGCTACTTGTTCGTCACTTCCGGCTGGGTGCAGGAGGCGGGAGAGTGAGGGAAAAGACTGGAAGACGAGGTAAGAGTGGCGGGAGCGAGAGGGCGTCCGGCCGCCTAGGAGCGTCCCGAAGCAGATGAGGGGGCGCGGAGGCGGCAAGCGCGGGGCCTGGGTGTGGGAAGGGCCGCGTCGCTCAGGTGGCCGGCCCAGGCCGCACTGCCCCTCGGTGCCTGGGGCTCACACACACCCTCCCCCACCCCGCCCTCCTCGGGGTCCATCAAGACGCGTACCCTTCGAAGGCCTGCACACCTTGGCTCTTGTTCTGCCTTCAGAAGTGACGTCCCTTCCCTCCCGTGGTGGAACTGCTCAGCCTCCCAGGACCACCTTTTCACGTCCAGGGCTTCACCTCCCGAAGCTCGGCTTTGTGCGCTGGACTCTGACTCAGTTGCTTGCTTAAATCATGGAGTTACGTCCTCTGTGGTAGTGACTTTTTTTTTTTTTTTGAGGGGTGTGAAGTGGCTCAGGGTTAGAGCGCTTGCCCTGCAAGAACGAGGGCCTGCGTTCCCATCCCAGCCCTCAAAAAGCCCGAGTCGGTGGGCCAGGTCTGTAACTCCGGTGCTGTGGGGCTGAGGCAGGCGGATCGCTGGAGTTTTCTAGTTGCCAGCTTAACTCCAGGTTCAGTGAAAGACCCAGTGTCAAAGGAATACGATGGAGAGTGAGCAGGACACCTGACATTCTCCTCTGGCCTTGTGCGCGCGCGCGCGCGCGCACACACACACACACACCCCTACAACTTTCCTGAGTGTTGTTGAACTTCTTAGTTGTAGGCCCATCCATCCCAGCCTAGAAGACATTCCTATAGTTGATGCCTGGTTTTCTTAACTGTTCTGTTCTTCGTACACATCTTTGACCCTTCACTTGGAGTACATCATGATCATAGCTAGCACAGTGAGAAATTGCTACTTTTCAAAGCTGTGAAGTAGGTTATTACAGTCTCATGGTTTCACAAATGAGGAAACAGAAGGTTAGAGAAGTATAAGGATCACATAAGTTTCAAGATCACATAGCTGAGTCCTGCATGAAGAGAGTATATCTTATATCTTAGTGTGTCCCAGCATCTGAGATCAAAGCTGAAGTCATAGCTGATTGAATGAGTTAACATAAAAGTCAGCACCTACTCATAATCATAAGCTGGAGCTTTTGAGCTAGGTCTGCATTTTTGTTTGTTTGTTTGTCTGTTTGTTTTCCTAGACAGGGTTTCTCTGTGTAGCTTTGCAGTTTTCCTGGAACTCACTCTGTAGCCCAGGCTGGCCTGGAACTCCCAGAGATCTGCCTGGCTTTGCCTCTGGGAGTTTGAGACCAGCCTGGTCTATAGAGTGAGTTCCAGTCCAGCTAGAACTACAAAGTGAGACCCTGCCTTTAAAAAAAAAAAAAAAAAAAGGGGGCCTAGGGCTTTTGAGATCTCATCTAAACAATGGCTAAGTATCTAGAAACTGTCATGTACTAAGTACCCTTGTACTGAGTCTATGTATCCAGCACATTACTACTACTCTAAATCTCAATCCTTGACAACGTTACTCTGGAGTGGGGATTGCCATCACCATTTGATAATGAGAGCACATAAAACGTGGGTAAGTAACCTATCTGAAGTTGCTCGGGCATAGCAAGAAAATGGCAAAACTAGAATTCAGTCAAAGTCGCCTCATCCCAAATTCTTCACATTAGCCAAAGATTCTTTCATTCAGTGAATAATTTTTGAGCACCTGTGTATGAAGCACTGTTCCTAGGCAAACAAAACACCCATGTCCTTGAGAGCTTGCCTTCTGCTAGAGAAGACAGGAAATCAGGCATGCAGGTATAACATGAGTCAATGACCAGGGCTTTGCATAAAAATCCAGGAAGCTAAGGGGAGTAGAGACTCCATGGGGGTTGAGAAATCTATGTTAGTCTCATAGGAGTTTGTTATATATGCCCTTCAGAAAGGATAAGTAAATATTTGGTCAGCTTGCAAAGAACTAACTAACCATAAGCTGTCTTTCCAGGTAGAGAGAAAACCAACTTTAAACCCTTGTTTGCAGTTTTGAGGAGTAGAAAAGGTGGTATAACCAAAGTGATAAAAATCAGAAGAATAGCTAGACATGAAGGCAGAAAAGTATGGAGGGACCATGTCCCATGGGCACATGTAGGCACAAGTCAGGATTTATCGTTTCTCTGAATGGACAGTAGCAATTGAAGGCAGAGCATTTTATTCTTATTGCACTGTGCTGTCATTACATTTGGATAGAGGATTTGCTTACATAAGCAAGGCTGTTATGTAGCAAACAGTCACAGTACAAGGAAGACAGGAAGACCAGCTTGTCAGCTGTTACAATAACCCAGGTAAAAGGATGACTCAGACCAAGATTGTACCAATGGAAGAAGGAGGAAAAGGATGGAATATGGAGATGTTTTAAAGGAAGAGATAACAGGATTTGCTGATAGACTGGGTTTAGATAGGAAAGAAGACAAGGGGGTCCAGGTGGCCCCAGGAATACTGACCTAAGCAACTAGAAGGATGAGATTTCTGTTTACTGAGCTTAAGAGAGAAAGAGAAGCAGTTTTGGGGACTGAACATTACAGGGTAGACATGTTTGATTGAAAATGCTTATCTAGGAACAGTCACCAATCACTGATCAGTGTCTGGAGAGTTGGCTCTTTGATACATGCACCATCACTCAGGTGCCACATCATCTCTAATTCATATGTAGTACAGTGTAAATGATTTGTAAAAGTTGTTACACAGGCCTAGGTGGCAACACTCGGGAGGCAGAGGCAGGTGGAACTTTGAGTTTGATGCCAGCCTGATCTACAGAGTGAGTTCCAGGACAACCAGAGCTACACAGAGAAACCCTGTCTCGAAAAACAAACAAAAAAGTTATTACAGAGTTTTTTTTTTTAAAGAATGAATAGCACTAAGGAGCAGAGTACATGTTCAATACAATCATAGGCTTTTTTACCAAATATTTTTGGTCTGCTTGGTTGAATTCCTAGTTTAGGGCTCACAGGTACAGAGGGCAACCTATACAAATACATAGGCAATTGGTCTTATCAGTCTGGAGTTCAAGGGCAAGTTCCAGGCTACAGCTAAAAATGTTAGAGTCCTAAGGGAGAAGGTGCAGAAAGAGGCTGAGGCTTAGGACATGTTACCTTTGAGAGGTCTGGAAGATGGGGGTGATTTGATTATGCAATTTAGCCTCTTCAATCTTTTAATATTAATTTGAGGGGTTTTCAAGTCCTGAGCCAGCCTTGAATCTCCGGAACAACTTTACTTTGTTGTATCCTATAGCTTTTTACATACTGCTAAAGTGGATGTCCTGTTATTTAGTTTAGAATTTGTTTGTTGGTAGACATGAAGGAAATCAGTCTTTAGGTTTTTGTTGTTTACATTAATTAGTTGTATGTGTGTGCGCGTTCACACATGCATGCCTAGTCCTGTCGATGTCAGGACAGTTTGCAGGAGTTGGTTCTCCTTCTACCGTGTGGGTCCTGGCTGGAATTCAGGTTGTCAGACTTGGTGGTAAGCACCTTTACCCACCGAGCCATCTCTTCAGTACCCCTCCCCCTTTAAACACCTTAAAATGTTTTTGTTAGCGTTTGTTTATTTTGTGTGTTCATGGGTATGTGTGTGTACGTGCATGTCCATGTTGAGGTCAGAAGACAGCTTTTCAGAGTAAGCTTGCTCCTTCCACCATGTGGGGCTGAGGGATTGAACTCGTGTTCAGGCTTGACAAAAGTGCTTTTGCCTGCCGAGCCGTCTTACCATTTCTAGTCTTTTTTGGGGGAAGGGAGGAAACATAATCTTGGCTGTCCCAGAATTCACTCTGTAGACCAGACTGGCCTCAGATTCACAGAAATCCTCCTACCTCTGCCTCCCAAGTACTGGGATTAAAGCCTGGCCCTGGCCTTAGTCTTTAATTGTGTGCCAGCGTCCTACTGACTTCAGAAAATGGAGATTCTTTCTCCTCTCTTTCTGTATTGTGCAGAATTGGTGTTCATTCATCTCTAAATGTTGGTTAGAATTTGCCAGTGAATTCTTTTCCTCTTTTGGTGAATTTTTTAGTAACAAACTTGTTTTCCACAAAAGTTGCAAAGCTTCTTCAGCAATCTTTCCTAATATGTAATTGCAGTGATTTGATTTAAACCACTTTGTCTCTGCTGTGGTTGGGATATGGTTTGAGGGTCCTCTAGTGCTCCGTGTATTGAAAGTTAATCTCCATTGTGGAGCATTGAGAGAGTAGGCACTTTGGCATTGAGAGGTATGGCCCTTGGGAAGCAACTGGGATTAACAATTAAGGATGTTAAAGTGGAGCTCCCCTGATTGAAGAAGCTTTACATGATAAGGAGAATACCAGACAAGTGCACACATGCACTCCCTGTCTCTTCACATATGATGCCCTGTGCCACTTCAGGGACTCTTCTAACAAGAAGACCATCACCTAACACAGCCCTTAGACCTTCTACCTCTAGAACTATGAGCCAGAGCAACGTAGTCTGCCTCTGTGTGTGTGTGTGTGTGTGTGTGTGTGTGTGTGTGTGTGTGTTCTGTAGAACAACATGAATGGTTAATTGTCTATAACTGCAGACTTGCTGTATTTTAATACAGTTCATTTATAAATGCAATTTTTAATCTTTGTGTATGATGTATATGGATGTACCTGTGAATGAACTTGGGTGTCAGGTGCCACAGCATGCATGTGGAAGTCAGAGGACCACCTCACGTGACAGCCTTTGTCTTCCACCTTGAGATGGGAGTCTCTTGTGGTTTGCAGCAGGGTCTGTTGTTTGCCACTGTATGGACCAGGCTAGCTGGCCTGAGAGTTCCAGAGTTTCCTGTCTCTGCCTCCTGTCTCCCTGTAGGAGTACTGAGATTACATACAGATGCTGCTACTGTACCCAGCTTTACATGGCTGCTGGAGAGTC